GTGGGCCTGTCCTGCACCGGCTTGGTGAAGATCTGCAGCAGGTAGCCTTTCTCGTCGTAGTCCACCAGGATTTTCAGCTCCTAGGCGGGAGGCAGGGGGCTCCGCTAGCGGGCGGCTGGCCCGCCCCGATAGCCTCACACGGTGAGGTGCTTAGAAAGTCCACAGGGGCTCCTGCACCCCCCCAGGACCAAGACCCCTTTCTCCAGTGGTTTCAGCCGCTTCCAGATAGATCCCCAAATTGTCCTATTACCGCTCCCGCTGCAGTTCCTGCCTAAGCCACTGTCGCAGCTGCGCCCTACTCGGAACCAGCTTGGTAACAGACCGTCCTCCACACGCACATCAGCGGGACCTCGTTGTCCTGCTGAAACCCTCCAGTAGAAACCAGACCTTTCCGTGTTGCTAGTGGGAATGTAAAATGTTGCAATCGCGTTGGGAACAGTCTGGCGGTTTCTCAAGAGGTTAGAATACCGTGTGACCCAGCAATTCCACTCCTAGACGTATGTCCATGTAAAACCTTGTACACAACAGTTCATGGCAGTGTTTTTTTGGTTTTTTTTTTGAGAGGTTTTTGCTATAGGGCATGTGCGCTTGCCAGACAGACAGAGAGAGAGAAAGACAGAAAGCGAGAAATCACCCCCAGGGGGGATGGCCACGCTGAAATCCCTTCTTCTCCATTCTCCTCTTGGGATCTTGGGCACACACGCACACACACCCGGCGTGAGTTTTAAGCCACCAGGTCCGGGACGCGAACCACAGTCAACTACATGGGAGTCCAGCGACATAGCCATTACGCTAACTGCTGGTCCCATGGCAGTGTATTTATATGTTTTTTTCTTTTTCTTTTTAGAGGTTTTTGTTATAGGGTGTGTACATTCATGAGAGAGACACAGAGACAGAGGGACAGAAAGCAAGAAATCACCCTCCCCGGGGGGATGGCCAGGCCGCAATCCCTTCTCCTCCATTCTTCACTTGGGAGTTGGGGCCCGGCATGAGTTTAAAGCCACAGGGTCTGGGATTGACCATGTAGAAGTCTAGTGCCTTAACCACTATGCCACCAGCTGGCCCTATATTTATTACTTTTTACATTTGTCAGAGGAGGAACTAGCACATGGCATGGTGGTTACATTGCTGGACTCCCACATAGTCGACTGTAGTTCAAGTTCCAGACCTAGCAGCTTAAAACTCATTCCAGGTGTGTATGCATGTGCTCAAAATCCCAAGAAGAGGATGGAGGAGAAAGGATAGTGGTGTGGCCATCCTCTCAGTGGGTAATTTCTTGCTTTCTGACTCTCCGTCTCTCTCCATCTCTCTGGCGAGCACATGTGACCTATAGAAAAAAAAAATCTCTAAGAAAAAAAAATGGTTGGGACCAGCAGTTTGTGTAATGGCTATATCGCTGAACTCCCATGTAGTCCTGTGCAGTTCGAGTCCTAAATGCGGTGGCTTAAACTCATGCTGGGCACGTGTGTGTGCGTGCCCAAGATCTCGAGAGGAGAATGGAGAAGGGATTGTGGCGTGGCCATCCCCCCTGGGGGGTGATTTCTTGCTTTCTGTCTCTCTGTCTCTCTCTGTCTTTCTGGTGAGCACACACGCCCTATAGCAAAAACCTCTCCCCCCCGCCCCTGAAAAAAAAAAAAAAAAAAAAGAAAGGAAGAAAACAAGAAAAGAAAAAGCAATTGTCAGAGGGCATATACATACTTGCTAGAGAGAACAGTGAGGAAGAGGGAGAAAGAGCCCCCAATGGTGCGTAGCTGTGCCACAGCCCCTTCCCCATGTTCCAGTCTGTCAGGATTTAGGGCATGGATGTACATGTGTCTAGCATGTTTTCCAAATCGACTCAAACCATGCGATCAGCCTTGCGGGATCCAGCTCCCTTAACCACGAGCTGGGGCGGCCCGGCGGCTTACTCGTAATAGCCAAGCAGTGGAGACGGCCCCCAGTCTCCACCAACTGAGGAGTGGGTAAACAAAGCGTGTTCTCTCCGTACTGTGGGGTATTACCCCGCCATAAAAAGGAATGAAGTGCTTCGACCACAGTCTGAGTCCTGGACAGGGCAGTTTGAAAATCATACTACTGGGACCAGCAGTTGGCGTAATGACTATGTCACTGGACTCCCATGTAGTTGACCACGGTTCGCATCCCGGACCTGGTGGCTTTTAACTCATGCCGGGCGCATGTGCATATGTGCCCAAGATCTCGAGAGGAGAATGGAAGAGAAGGGATTGTGGTGTGGCCATCCCCTCTGAGGGATGATTTCCCGCTTTCTGTCTGTCTCTCTCTGTCTGGCGAGCGCACACGCCCTATAGCAAAAACCTCTCCGAAAAAAAAAAAAAAGAAAGAAAGAAAGAAAGAAAATCATACTAGGTGTGCACCCAAAATCCTAAGAGGATAATGGAGGAGAAAGGATGGCCTCATGGCACATCCATCCCCGGGGGTTGGGGGGGGAATTCTCACTTTCCCTCTCTCTGTCATGTGCCCAATGGCAAAAGGCCATTTACAAAAAAAAAAAAAAAAAAAAAAAAGAACGACGGGGGGGCAACAGGCCGCACCAGGTGAGCCTTGAGAACGTGGTGCTAAGTGAGGCTGGCGGGCACGAGGCCGCGCACGGTTCCATTTCCTGTGTATGAAATGCCCAGACTAGGAAGACAGAGGCAGGTGAATGGTTTCCAGGAGCTGGGGTCAGAGGGAAGGGGTGGAGGGCTTGGAAGGTGATAGTTAGGTTCAAGATTTCTCCTGGGGCCCTGGCCCTTTGACCTAGTGGTTAAGGGAGCCAGATCCCACATGGCTGACCACACAGTTCAAGCCCTTGTCCCGGTGGTTTGAAAACGCACTGGGCGCATGTGCGTGCATGCCCCAAATGGCGACAGGATGGACAGACGGAGTGGAAGGAGCTGGCGCGACCATCGTCCTCGCTCGGGAGCGCTCTCTCCTTGCCTCTCTGGAGAGCACATGTGCCCTCTGGCAAATTAAAAAAAAAAAAAAGAGTTCTTTCTGGGGTGATGGAAATATTCTAAAGTTAATTTTGATTGTGGTTGCACAGCAGGGTAAGTAGCTGAAACCCATCAAACGCTTCCTTTCATGGCGCTAGCTTTTCTGTTCCCCAGACACATGGAGCTCGCTTCTGCCTCAGGACCTTTGCATATGCTGGTCCTTGGCCAAGAATGCTCTTCCCCAGCCCTTCATGCAGCCAGCTCCCTCTCATTGTCTAGGGTTCACTTAAAGGTTACCTCCTCAGAGAGGCCCTCCCTGCCTGCACCCTATATATAGCCCCAGGTTGCCTGTTTTAACTTTCTGCTCTCACCCTGTCTCTTTGGTGGTGTTTTTTTGTTTTATTTTGTTTTGTTCTGTTTTTAGAGGTTTTTGCTATAGGGCGTGCACACTCACCAGAAAGAGAGAGAGAGACAGAGAGACAGAAAGCGAGAAATCACTCCCCAGGGGGGATGGCCACGCTGCAGTCCCTTCTCCAGTCTACTGTAGGGATCTTGGGCACGCATGCACACGCTCCCGGCATGAGTTTAAGCCACCGGGTCCGGGACTTGAACCGTGGTCGACTACATGGGGGTCCGGCGACATAGCCATTACGCCATCTGCTGGTCCCTCTGGTGGTGTTTTTGTCACTTATCTGTTTGCCATCCGTCTCCTACCTCTCACCCCCCATGCCAGAACCCAGGTCCCGTGGCTGCAGGGACCCGGTTCGGCTGTCCCCTGTGTCCCAGGACGGGCCACCCCTCACCTCCAGAGCGTCGATGCTCTCCTTCACCTGGATCTTGGCCGACTTGAGCCCCTCCCGCAGCTGCCTGTAGTACGTGGAAGGAACAGCCAGGAACTCCATGCCTCGTTCTCGCAGGTGGCGAATCTGTTTCAGGACAGGGTTGGGATCAGCCTTCTTTCTCCACGTTCAACTCTGTGATCCAGGCAGAGGTGCTGGGCCGGGAGAGGGCAGGGTGCGGCGTGAAGTCACCCCTTCCTTCTCGGTCAGCTCCGTTAGAAGGACAGCCTGGCGGACCTCTATGGGACGCTCGCTCTGGGCCTGTCTCAAGTGCGTCCTCTTTCTTTTAGAGGTAGAGCCTTGCTGTGTCCCTAGGGTGGCCTTGAACTTGTGATCCTCCTGCCTCCCCCTCCTCGGGAGCTGTGATTACAAGTGCATGCCCCAGCTTCAGGGTGACCGCGTGGCCCTCACCTCCCGCCCCCACGCCCACCTTCGGCCCAGTCTCCTCCCTCTCCTTTCCCTGCTCTGTTCCAGCCACCTTCTCTCGCTCTCACTGCCCCCTCTGCCCTCTGGGCACTCACCCAGGACCTCTGCCCAGCACTCCCTTCGGCCCCAGGTGTTCCCCCAGGTGGCCACGGGCTTCTCTCCTTCCAACTCTGCATTTTCGGTGGTTTCCTTTTCAATTGGCCTTTTCCGGCCACCCGGTTCGAGGGCGCGATGCCATCGCCCTCAACCCCACTTCCTGCTTGATTTCCTCCTAGAGCAGGCGCACCCCCTAGCGTGCACATTGTACCCGTTTTGTTTATTACCTTCGGAAGGATGGGACCTGGTGCTCGCTGATGTAGCTCAGGTATCTCGAACGTGCCTAGCACTGACCTGATGCTCAATAAACACCCACTGCGTGAATGAATGAATGAAACTGGCAAGGTCGTGCAGAGAACTCTCGGTTGGACCAGGAGTAAATAAGATCATTCAGGCTCTTGTCCGCTCTGCCATAGTGTCAGTTAAGTGAGAAAGCAAGCCACCAGGTCCAGGACTCGAACTATGGTCGGCCATGTGGGACTGTCCAGTGCCTTAACCACTACGCCACCTGCTGGTCTCCCACAGTGTCATTTAAGAAATAGGTAGGACCTGGCCTATTAGAGGGCTGGGTCCACATGCAAGGCATTTAATTGGACTAAAAGGACATAGTGAGTGGTGTCATCTAGTACCCTCCTTTTCAAGACCGAGTAACTCAAGCCCAGAGAGGGAGTCGAATGCCCCAGAGACACACAGCAAGCACTGGCAAAACCCAGACTAGAATCCAGGCTTCCTGATCCTCTGAAGTCTGCTACTTCTAAGACCCGGAGTAGGGGCCGGGCAGGGTGTTAGGAAGATGCAATGCTCTGCAAGGCAATCCCACGTGGAAAGGTTCCCAGTTCAAGTCTGGAAACCTCGTTGAGTGCGCTGGGCGCACGCTTGCCTGTGAGCCAGGGCTGGCTGAGACGGGGTGGACCGCAGCTCTGGGGCCCTGATCCACCCCCTTCTCTCTCTCTGTCACTCATGGAGAAAATAAATAGACCATCTTTTTTAAAAGCCCAGTGTTCTACAGAGGCCAGACTCTGCGTGTCTGTGGCTGGGGTTCCCGAGGCAGTGGGGGCCCTGCGGCCCTCCCAGCCTCTGCACCCCCCTCCACTTTGCAGAAACTCTCCCCGGAGCTGAATGCGAGGCGGTGAGGGCAGGCGGGGCCTCACCGCTGTGATGATGTCGTGGGTCTTGAGCGCAATGTGCTGGACCCCGGCCCCTCCGTTGTAGTCCACGTACTCCTGGCAGGGGACAAGGAGGGCACCGTCATCGGCCCATCGCCCGCCCCTGCCCGCGAGAGCCCGCACACCTCTTCCCCCGGCGGGAGGGCGCCACCTGGATCTGGGACTTCTTCTTGCCCGGCGCTGGCTCGTTGATGGGCATCTTGATGGACTCCTCGTAATTGGCCACCACGATGGAGCGCAGGGAGCTGTATTCCGTGTGCACCTGCGTGTCATCCACGGACCAGAAGCGATGGAACTGCAGGTTTCTCAGGTACCTGCCGGGTGGCCGTGGGACACTGCTCTGGGAGCGGCCTGGGACCGCCCCCCAGCTCCAGAATTTGCCCCAGCAGACTCCAGAGAGGAGACACCATCACGTCACGCACAGCAGGATGGCGCCTTTCTGATGGCAAGTCCCCCCAGGTGGCATTTCCCACCGTCTCAGAGCAGAGCGGTGTGCCTGGCAGTGCTCTGGCACGGGGGGTCGAGCCCTCTGAGAAAGGCACTTCTACTGGGCGAGGCCGTTGTCTGGGTGGTGACAGTCTTTCTCCAGCCTCCCGGGACTGTGACACCCCTGAGGTCTCTCAGAGGGAAGACCTTGGTTGCTGTGGTGACAGTTTTGTTCTTGGTTGCCAGAGGGCACGTGCGCTTGCACAGAGACAGAGCAGGAGAGGGAGAAAACACCCCACATGGGGGAGGCCACACTTCACCCCCCCATCTTCATCCCATCAGGATGTTGGGCACGCACACACATGTGCCCAGGGTGTTTCTCAAGCCACTGGGCACACACAGGATTTGAACCCCGCTTGGCCACGTGGGAGCCTGCCCCCTTTACCAGTAGGCTACGGTCCTGCCCCAGGAGGGCAGTTCTACAGTGAAGAAGCGAAGCAATGACCCAGACTGACCTCGCACCAGCTTACGCTCTGTTTTCCACCTTGGCCAAGAACAGTAGTGGACCTGTCCCGTGAGGGGCTGTCACCTTGGGGACACCTGGGCTCACCATTCTGAGGCAGACACCATCTCCTGGTCAGGCTGGTTTCCCACGATGTGGTCGATGATCTCGAGGTTGCAGTCGGGCCTGGGAAAGGGAAAGGGTTTGAGGGCGTGAAGGAAGGCTGCCCCCCAAGCAGCTCCTTCCCACTGACCCGTCCATAACGACAACAGTAGCTCACACGCCTGTAGCCATTACCAAGAGACAGTGCTTTGTTTTGTCAAATCACACATTATCACTGTCCCCATTTTGCAAATGAGGACACTGAAGCACAGAGAAATGAAATGACTCTCCCAGTGTTAAATGGCTAGGAAGTGACAAGGCCGGGATTTGAACCCGGGCAGCCTGGCTGCAGGGCCTAGCTCTCAGCCTCTGGGCACTTCTTCAAGCATTCGTTAGGGGCTCTCCCAGGTTCCCTAACAGGCTCCAGATGCTCCGTCTGAGGGGAAAGCTCAGTCCCTATGGAATACAGGGCGTCGCTCCCCACCCCGCCTGGCCCGAGAGGCACTCACAGCTTGGCAAGATGGGGGTCCACATATGTGGGGGCCTCAAACCCAGGCAGGAAGCGGCCGGTGTAGTTCATCTTCTCCACCAGGGTGTGCGTGGTGTCCCCATACTGTGGGCGGGAAGCAGCTTGGCTCAGCCGAGCACCCACCCCTGCTGAGACCCGGTGGCCCCCGGGCACTCACACAGCCCGGGGTTCCAAGCCAGGGCGGACCTTAGCTCAAAATGAGTTGCTGCCTGTCATTGCTGTGGTGCTTGGACAGTCTGCCCGACAGGACCAGAAGCTCTGCGAGGGCAGGGACACGGTTTTGCTCATTGTGGTAGCCCCAGAGCCTGGCATGGTACCTGGCACATAGTAGGTGGTCTGTAAAAATGCACTGGCTACACTGGGTTCAAATGGGATCAGCAGATGGCGTCATGGTTACGTGGCTGGACTCCCAGGAAGTCAACCATGATTTGAGTCCCGGACCCAATGGCTTAAATCTCACGCCAGGCTCATGTGTGTGCCCAAAATCCTGAGAGGAGAATGGAGGAGAAGGGATTGCAGCGTGGCCATCTTCCCTGGGAGGTGATTTCTTGCTTTCTGTCTCTCTGTCTCTCTGGTGAGTGCACAAGCCCTATAGCAAAAAAAAAAAAAAGTCTCTAAAACAAAAACAAAAACAAAACAAAACTGAGTTCAAATTATACAGGATTTTTTTTTCAATTATTGGGTCATTGGAAAAGTCATGACATATTTTTCTATACGAAAATGCCTCGTGAGTTTTACAATGACCCAATATTTTAACAACTTTTAAAATTTATTTAACTTTATTTATTTATTTACTTATTTTTTAATTTTACCAGAGAGAGACAAAGTGAGAGAGAGAAAGAGAGAGAGAGAGAAAGCAAGCCGCCAGGTCCAGGACTCGAACCGTGGTTGGCCATGTGGGAGTCCTTAACCACTGCGCCACCTGCTGGGCCAACAATTTTTTTGTTAATTGCAGGGTGTGTATGGGGGGGGTGTCCCAGGGAGAGACAGAGGAAGGAAGCACCCCCAGTGGGATGTGGTCAGGCTGCATTTCCTGGCCCTCCGTGTCGCCACTCTGTCAGTATTTGGGTGCCAGCACACACATGCATGCGACGTGTTTACTGAGCCTCTGGGGCCAGGATTTGAACCATGTGGGGCCGTGGGAGATCTGGCTCCCTTAACCCCGAGGCTGTGGAGCTAGCCCAGCAACGGCAAAGTCTAATATAACCCCGAGGCGGCCGGATTGTAACCGTGCCTGTGTTAGAATAGCACAGGTGCTAGGGCCGGCAGGCGGAGTGGTGGTTAAAGGAGCTGGAGTCCCACATGGTCGACAGCGGTTCTAGTCCTGGACCTGGCAGCTTGCT